CATCTCTGAATAGACAGGTCCTGCTTGCTGAAAATGGCACCTCAACTTTTTACAGTGAGGAAACACATGGCAGGGGTTGCACATCAATGACACCAGTGAAACCCTCAAGAGCAGAGATATCACCAATCCAGCTCTAATCTGAATGGTTTCAAATTACTTCAACATAGACACACACACACACAGAGTCTGATAATTCTTTACATGACAAACTTCTAAAAAACAATAAACATTATAAGCACAACAGCAAGCTACATTGTTATATTTGTAATAAAATCTTTACCTTCTCTACCTTTTAATTCTAAAATAGTTATCCTGCACACTTTCTTAAACTCTTCACTCTCTTCAGCAAGAGGCCAACAGACCAAACACTGATAAAACACAGCTATGCTGTTGGGAACAAAATGCCAGGGAATCCATCCTGTAAAGGCAGCATTTCCACTGACATAAATGGGAGAAAGATAGAGCTGCTGGGGAATAGAAGCTGCAGAATTACAGAATACATTCCAGAAGCCAACTTCATATATATCCCAAATGCTGTCTGATGTTGCATATGCACACACATGTATACATGCATAAACAAATAGATACCTGTGTAAATATATGAACATAATGTTTGAACTTTTAATATAATATGCACTTTTTAAAAAGTATATAAAATAATCTACAATTTCGCTGACAGGTGAGAGGGACACATTTATTTTATTGAACTAACATTTGGCTACAGATCCAGCTCACAGACTTCAGTTGCATGGGCAAAAAATGATGAATTATGTTGCTCTCAACATTTTCTCCCAGACAGAAAACTTATTTTAGATTTCTGTATTGTTCTTCCAATGCAGCTGAGGAGTCACAACAAAGTCACTCTTCTGATCTCAGAAAAGTGCTGTGTATTCTTTCCATATGGGGTATCCAATCTTTTAAAGGAAAGCAAAGGATATTGTGCAGTCAAGTCAGCATTCAGTGGAAAGGTACCTGACTCAATTTCTACTCACTTAGACAATCCCTGAATTCACCTCTTCAGTGGAAGTACAGAACCATTTCTATTTTGATATGCCCTCTACTGGGACAATACTCTTGCAAGAAGATCCTTAATTAGATCATTACTGGTTACTATAATCTGCCCAGTGCAGAAGTAGCAATGGAGATTTTAAGAATGATGCAATATTCCAAAAAATTAGAATAATAAGTCCAGTAAATAAGTATTATTATTTAACCAATAGTCTGAAAATGAGATACCAACACAGCACCAACAAAGGTTCAGAACCTAAATATAAGGGTTTGTCTTAAATGAAAAAAATTAAGCAATATTTCTATGCAAGAACATTCAGGTAACCCTTTGTAACCAAGTGTTACATCTGTATGGAGCTGCTCTTCATGAGCTTCACACAACTGGGCACACTCCAGACTTGGAAACGAGCCTGTCCTTTGGGCACTCCTGACAGAAAGGCAGGAGTCACAAAGACTTAAACTGAGACAATGGAAGGATGAGTTCAAAAGATCCAAAGTACCTGAAGGCTTGCTAGAAGGTAAAAATCTATTTCATGCAAGAAAGGTCATAGTTTGAAATTACAAATATTGCTATATACAGCTACATATAAAATACTGAGCAAATCACGATCCAGGCTGGTACACAGGGAGCATTTTTTAAATTACAAAATCGAACAGTTCAAGTGTTAAAAATACTCTTGAAATTTGTCAGTTTTAAATAAAATGATCTGCAGTTTAAAAAAGAAGTACAAAATATATTATGAGTATATGACATTTCTCTTACACACACAATGCAAAGAGAACAAATATATTTCTTGGTTTTGCTCAAACAGAGCATCAATAAACTGAAGTAAGAACACTGATTCTTGCTAGGATTACTTATAAGGATTTTGACAACTATTTCCTACCATCCCTGAAATATCTTTAGTAGAAGATATACAGAATGGGGACTAGTATATATGAAAATTAATACCTGGAATCTTGCAAGCATTATTATTATATTTTCCTGTGGCTCTAACTAGGTTCAAAGCAACATTTATAAATCAAATTATTTTCTTCATTGCTTTATGTTGGTTCTAACTTACTAAATTCAAATGTTAAACTGATACACTGAAAATGAGGTTACCAACCTGAAAGGCAAATACATACTCTTCTTTGTAACTGAAAAAAAGTTACTTGTCCAAAGCAGTATTCCTTCCTCTTCTCGGTTAATTTTCAACTAATTGGTTTTCTGTACATTAAATTTATGTTTCCTAAAGCATTTAAAGCTAGTTTCTAATCCTATATACATAACTCATTGAAAAATCATGAACTATTAAGATAAATTGTCCCAACTGAAGGCAAACAAACGAAAGGCAAAAATACATTTAAAACATCATAATTAGAATGAATATATTATACCCTCAAAATATCGGTTTATAATTGTTAAATATTTTCAAATTCTACTATATATATGTAATAATATTTGATTTTCTGACTTTTTACAATCCTCATTCAGCTGAAATTCTGCTTTCCTTTTGTATTTTCCCAACATCAAACTCTGCAACTTTGCAGAGTTGATCTGCCTTGACTTTTACTGCAGTAACCACGAAAATTGTGCATGAAAATTAATACTTCCCCATATGTTTTTCTCCATTATCTCTTCTAGTCAAACTCCCTTCTCAGAGCTCCAATATTTTGCATAGCAAAACACTGGACAGCATTTGGTCACTCTGCAGGAGCAATTCTGTAGAATGTGGTGTCCTCTTGTGGTCTTGGAGGTTCCCTAAATGTGAGATGTGTCACTGAACACCAGATTTAGAGTTGGCATCAATTCCAGCAGGAGCTTCCAATGCCACTAACATTTAGAATCACCTTCATCAGCCTCACGGTACCAAACAGGGGACTGAAGACATGCAAAGAATAACAGCATTCAGGTACAGACCTGAAGGATATAAAAGCACCAACACCACCTTCCAAAAACTGCAAAATAGTGATTTTCAGCTATTTACACATGGAGGACAATTTTTTTACCAATATGTTATTTGGGCATCTAATAACACTGAGGATCTGTAAAGGATATGAAAACCGTAGTGACGTAAGAGACACTTTTGTTAGCAGAATTCAGCTACTGAAACTGCTCTTCAGGCACCGATTCAAGATCATAATGATTAATCTAGGAACAGGAAGACAGTTCCAATTCTATCAGAAACAGTGTAACTAATATCAGAGAGAAAAAATACCTAGTGAAATCCAAGTGCATATCTAAAAGGGAACGTGCTTTGGGAGCCACTGAAGTTAAAAAAGCAGCATGAAAAAAATAGTATTGGCAATATCTCTTCTAATGTTTATTGCCAAACATTTGCATGTGTAACATCCTGCACAAACCTCTCATCCTAAACTGAAAGTTCTACAGAATTCCATGACAGACACACACCCATATGAATTAATTAATTTTACACTGATATTTTTAAACTTTCCTTTTAAACCTTCAACTTGCTCTGCCATGGAAGGGAAGGCCATCTCCAGGCCATTAATCCATCTCAGTCAGTCACACAAGGCAGTTATTTTCTGAGGAGCTACTGCACAAAATGATACAATATTCCTGAAGGTAACACATACTGTGACATGTACAGAAAAGAGCACCACTAAAAGACAAAGAAATTCCTACACAGTGTGCTGTGCAAATAAGCTCTTGTGTGACAAACTGAGGTAAAAGCTCTTGCAAAGCTGATGTGAAAGTGTCACACTCTGATTCCCAATTTATTTACACCAGGTACCCAGAAGTATAATCACTAAGAAACTAAATATTAGCTTATAATCACTAAACTAACACACAGAAGTATAATCACCACTCTCTCATGTCTCATCACAGCAGTCTTTCAGGAGTCCAATGGATGGCACCCCTTTCTTAATGTAAAAAGATACTTTTTCTGAGACCTGATATGAGAGAAAGCGGGTTTGTGCAGGATTAAGGTAGAATTTTGGCTCAAAGCTGAAGCAATAGAAGAATAAGCAATGTAAATTTTTTAATGAGTTGCTCAACTGATAATTTTGTATGCATCAACCATGCAACTGAATTTGTAACTCAATTAGTATTTAAAGTAATTAAGGATGAAAGACTATTAAAAAAAAAAAGCTTAAAAGGCGGCTTTTATAATTTACTGAAGTGGTTGATACTCCATCACTTCAAAAAAGGGAGAATTAGTTATGTAACAAAGAAGAAAATACATTGTTTCTATTACAAAACCATCCACTAAAAATTAAATGAAAAATGCATGAGCTTCTAACAGATGGAAAAAAAAACCAGAAAAGATCTCATAAGTATTTTCATTTCCCAGGTTCGCAGGCAATGAACAACCACATTAACAGTGGACTTTATGCCAAGCAAACAGAACTGCAGGTTTTACTGATTCATTTTAATATACTTACATCACCACCACTTATTCCAGATTATGTGCATTACTGCCCTTTCACAGCACCTGCTCATTTTTGGAGTACACGTGGGAAACCATTGGAGTCAGATCAGTTACTACCTTTAAACCCTCACAGTCCAATTCATTGACATCCAAAAGTGAGTAAGGAATTTATAATTTTTTTTCTAGTTGTTTTTGAAATTTTACATTATCTCATACAAATTAGCAAAGATGATTTTTCTAACACAAAATTGCAACAGCAATATTTAATTAATTACTCACCACTGTTAATTGCTGCCATTTTTTTTTTTAAATGTAGTAGACTTCATTTTACATATGGAGCTGTCCAGCACAGTTTTTGAGGTTCTGTGCATTTGTTTATTGTGTATGTCATGAATATTTCATTTAATAGAACCGGTTTTCTTTTCAGTAAGTGGAAAAACCATTGCATTACCTACACCAGTGAACCTGCACCTGGTAAGGGGAAAGTCTGTATAAAAATAGCAGGTACTGTCTAGCAAGTGTAAAAACATTTATGAGTCACCTCTTTTATTTGTGTATGAATGATAGAGGTTTTTTCCCCCAGCTTTTACTGATACTGTGAGTTCTTTCAAGTACCTTGTTTCCAATGGCCTTTTTAGGTGGAAAGTTAAAAGTCCTCACTTGCTGGTATTTACTCTGTAATTTATGATGCAAACTTCTGAACTCTGCATATCTTCGATAAACATTCCATTCATCATCCTTTATCCTGATATAAACCTGCAAAATACAGACATGAAAGGAAACAGCGTAAAGACAAATCCTGAGATGATTGATCTCCTCAGTCCTCAAAGCCTCATGTGACGCAACAGCACGAGAAGTTCCAGGATCATGGAGCCACAGGTACAGCTCTGACTGTGCCTTTGCTGTTTCTACTGTACAGGTCATTAACCTAATTTTCTCTCTTTTTCCCTTTCTTTTTCTTTCTTTCTCTTATTTTAATCAAGACAAACACAGCTTGCTTATTTGAACATGACTCTGGGGCAACCATGGCAGCACTTTTTGTTACCATGGTTTCCAGCATATTCTGCTACCCAGTGACCAGAGGAAAAAAATAATTTAATACCACTATAAAATTGATTTCTGTGTCCTCAACACAGTTCTTCAACTTTGTAAATTAGCTTTGTACCATCAGAATTTCAAAACATAATTTTATCCCAAGTATGAAACTTAATTTACTTCCTAACAAAATTACATTGAAAACTAAACTAGAAATTTTATTGTTTGGAAAATAAACACAGTTCATTCTTTCTGCTTGTATAGGACATTAAGTATAATTTAACACAGCTGTAGTTTTTGTGAATCTGCTTTTGTTTGCCACTCATTATTTTATGAGCATATTACCAATTACATGCTAAATATTCACATTCTCTGGGAAAATTTCATGGAGAAGTGAAATATACTTCCAGAAAACTGAGTTTTCACTCTTTTCTAGGGGAATAACTTTTTCTCTACAGGAATGAACCTACAGTTTAAAAGAATGCTGAAACAGCACATCAGAAACTCTAAACCAAGCATCAGAACTCAAGATCCATTGTGATCTTTTCCTAAGCTGCTTTCTAGAATCTGTCGCTTATTCCTTGTGGTGTGTGCACCAATAATCTCAGCATTCTGCACCAGGAATGAAGCTGAAATGGTCCCAATGACACTGCCTTGCCCTGCTGCTCCACAAACCCCCAGGAATTCATTAGTAAGCTGTAAGACAAGTATCAGGAGAACCCTCATGTGAAAAAGCAACCCCGAGGAGTGGGCAGTAACAACTGTGTTTTTGGGAATACTCAGAAAAAATGAACTTTGGATTTTGATGTGGCCAATTTCAACAGCGAAGTGCAGCTTTTCCTGGAGATTGAAACATTAACATGGTCTTTCTCCTCTACATTTGACAAGTCCTTAGAAAAAAATTATATTTTACTAAGGACTTGTGGTATTTCAGAGATCAAGGGATGTCAAGTGAATGCCTCCTCCCACAAAAGCAGCTCATGCAGCCTTCCTTTAGTTTGGTCTTTATCAAGTCCTTTTATTCTTACAGACACCTAGTTTTTCAAATTTATAGGAGGCTTCTGCCCTTGCAACAAAATGCAATATACCATGCAGACACCATTCTGCCAAATTAGACTATTTCAGTGTAGAAAATACTAATACATTTTCCACAGGAATACTGCAATTCCAAAAAAGGAATACTACAATTCCAAAATTAGCACATCTAAGAATTCAAAAGATTCAGAGTATTGTGTGAATTACAAATGCAGATGTATACAAAAATTCAACTGGTTTTGGTAACAAGAATTCAGACAGTGTAATGATGGAACCACAATAGTAAGTCTGCAAGAAGTATTCAGATTTCTTTTCCACTTTGAAAATAAGGCCAGGATAATTAAACTCCTACAGGACCATCTGTTTGAACAATTAAGTACATCTTTCAAAGCAAATGAAGGGATATATGAGATGCAAGTATTTTGCATAATTCTAATAAAATTTATTTAATGTAGTAAAAACTATATTAAAATCTTTATTCGCCCAGATCTAACCCCTCTCCCTGCCTGTTCTCACTTCCACCAGTACAGTGTTTGGAATTTTGTATACATTCCCAAGATTCATGATTCAATTTCCCTGGGGGGGCGGGGACAATAAAAAACTTCAATTATTTTTAACTAAGTCATTTAATATGGAAACCTTAATTTAACTAAGCAGTTATCTTTGCACATGTGATTTGGTGAATCATGCAGTTCAACATTACCTGTTAAGCTGTAACCCATAGTTAACTAATTAAGGAACCTGGTACACTGTAATTGAAATTTTTAAGGACTGCAAAACCATAGATTAATTTCTTAGATAAAACCACTAGAAAATTTCTTACTGTTCTTCTATGTACACAGATATTGATTTCATTTCAGCAGTAAGAAATGAAAATGCAACATCTGGAGCCCTGTGCCATATTGAATTTATTGACAATCATATAATAGAGTATGAAAGGTATATTAAAGTTCATGATGCAGTACAGATTTAAACCTTCATTATCTCAGAAGGGAATACTATTCCCTTGCCAAGACAATGCAAATTCAGTTGGGAAATCAAACAAAGCAAATACTAAATATAAAATTATTTGGATAAACTTATCCTAGTGTAGTCATTTAAGGCACATAGTTATCCCCCTTTTACCTCAAATGCAGATCATACCAGCACAGGAGGATCAGGGAAGGATTACTTCTGCAGACAAAATTTTGAAATAATGCTAAATCAAGCAACTTCAGATGCATGGTTTGAAAAAAGTTTTAGGTCTTTTCCCATCATCCCCACAATTTCATTCACGGCCTTTTGATAGAAAATTAGTGAAATCTGTAGTTGCCAACAGACACTTTGGTGTCTTTTTGTCCCAACTTGTCTCGCTGTACCCCAGAGCAATACCACCTTTTGCTACAGCAAATACCTTTGCAAATGACACATAATTACAGAACAGTATTTTAAGATCATGTTGTAGAAAGTTTAAAGGACTTAAAGGACTCTTAGTCCTTATTCTATGATCAATTTTAAAAAATCAATTCTAAATCATTACAATTCTTTTCTAATGCCCGTGTTTTCCTGATATTATCCACTTCCTAACCTAGTTAAGTAATTTTCAAGGTAATGAAAACTTACAGACTCAATCAAAATCACTGCTAGAATGCTTATTTGTTTGTAGACAAAAGATTTTATTTTAATATTCTCTTGAATATCAAAAAATTAGTTAAGTAGTTTCTGCTGTTAATTTCGGAGCACTTTCCATTTAGGTCTCCCATGTAAAGATTGATTGGTAACCTTTCTATAGCTCTGATTTACAGCAGCTCCAAGAAAAATTTCAGTTAATAAGTATGTATAATGAATTAGTCTGTTATTTTCTCATCACAAAAACATCTGAAGTCAAAGATTTGGAGAGCAATAGCAATAACAGTTGCAATTTAATATTGTGTTTATCAGCCAACTACCTGCTAACTTTTTATTACTGAAATGCCAAAAATCTTCTGAGACTCAATTTGAAAGCACTGGTTTACTGATTGCATACTGAAATGAAAAATCCTACTCCCATGGTCCTGCTTTTTGAGCCAAAAGTTTCTTTAATAAGTTAAGAAATCTTTTAAGCAGTTCTGAATCCAAAATGCTGTTAACAAGTCCTGGTAACAGACTAGTAACCCTTGACACAGTTCCTTGCTACTTATGTATAAAAGCCTGAGGAAAATAAAGGACAAATACCAAAATTCCAACTTGCTCCATTTCCAGTGTACACAGACCAAATGCCTGCAACCAACACTTGTTCTTCAGGTCTGCAGGAGTCCAATGTGGGTGCTTTTCTTTTTGATGCAAAAATATAGGTTGGTATATTGAGGATTCACTTTTGTGTCCCTCTCAATGCAGTGAGTAGCAAGAGACACTGACTGGGATATTAAAGACCTTCTTCTGTTGCAATGACATTCATGGTTATAGAAATTGCAGATTAGGCATCAAGAAGGATCTCCCCTAAATGAAGTTACTCCTGAATCTTCCCTGCAAATATGGGGAAGTTCCTGGTAGGATGATCTGAATACGTAAAGAAAAATGAATTCTTGCCACAGAACTCTTTATGTGAGATCCACAAATACAAAAATGCTGAAGTTAAAGTCCTTGTGAGTCCATGGTCTATTCCTGAGGCAAGAAAAATGTCAGAAAGGGAGGGAACAATGCTAAGGGAAGGTGAGTAGTGAAACTCTACTAAACCACATATAAAATTCAGTGGCACAAGATGGAAGAGAACTTGGGACAATTCAGCAGCAGAACACTTCAAAGGACATAAAGAACACTAAGAATGTTTGTAAAGAACAAGTCCTAGGCTGGACAAGGTCATAGCTGCCTTAGAAGCATGGGAAAAAAATGTTGGGCAGCAACAATGTTGGGAATGCAAAAGAGACTGATCTACACTAAGGAAGCTACTGTGACCTTTACCACCTCAGTAAGCATTACCAGGGGATAAAAAAGGGCGAGAGAAAAAAGCTACTATTTCTATACTACTGTATTTCTAACTTCCTTTCCCTCACTAATAAAAGAGAGTTTTCTGGAGGTCCTCTTGTTTGTTACATACTTTCAAATCAATGCCCAAGCATGTGACAACAAAAAGAAAAATTAGCAAGTGGTTTAGTAGAGACAACCCAGTCAGCATGAATACAAAAACATTACACGCACATTGGCACCATTATTTTTCACTGTTAACTCAGCTAAGCTTGACTAGTGAATGTTTTCTTTACATTTGCTTTTAAATAACACTAAAATTTGGAGTACCATTGATCCATACTTTTACCTTTATACTAATAAAGTTTTCTTTAACTCTTAAAACTCTGACCCAACTTCAATGTACATCTTAATTATTCAGGAACACTAAATTAAAGATATTTTGAATAAAGTTCACTATTTAGAAATAATTGTTTTCAGTGGATTGGAACTATCCTTTTTTTCCTCTCAGGAAAGCACATTATAAAATAGGAGTGACATATTTCAATCTATTTAGGAGGTTTCTATCAAAATTATATATATCTGCATTCAAAACATAGAGAAGAAGTAAAAGGGGTGAATCCAAAGGGGAAGCATATCGCAAAAAAAGGAAGAACTGATTTCATTTCTTGACTTTACTTCAGGAGAATGGGATTCTGTTTAGAATATAAATTCAAGCTCAGTTCTCCAAAGTTACCTCTGAAGTGTGAGAAATGAATACAAAT